GTCTAGTCTAGTCTAGTCTATAGTCTAGTCTATAGTCTAGTCTATAGTCTAGTCTATAGTCTAGTATATAGTCTAGTCTATAGTCTAGTCTAGTCTATAGTCTATATTCTAGTCTAGTCTAGTATAGACTATAGTCTAGTCTATAGTCTAGACTATAGTCTAGTCTATAGTCTAGACTATAGTCTAGTCTATAGTCTAGACTATAGTCTAGTCTATAGTCTAGTCTATAGTCTAGTCTATAGTCTAGTCTATAGTCTAGTCTATAGTCTAGTCTATAGTCTAGTCTATAGTCTAGTCTATAGTCTAGTCTATAGTCTAGTCTATAGTCTAGTCTATAGTCTAGTCTATAGTCTAGTCTATAGTCTAGTCTATAGTCTAGTCTATAGTCTAGTCTATAGTCTAGTCTATAGTCTAGTCCAGCGGTTCCCACAGATTTTTACTTCGCGGACCCCTTGAAGAGCTTATTTAATTTCGCGGACCCCCATACATATTTTTTTTCCCGTACATTGAGAATATATAATATTTCAGATAGGTTTTCAATTGCATGTTTTGAAGATAGAATGACTTCTTTGTTGATATGTTAACATGATGTTTAATTTTATGATCGTGAGATCTTTCATGTTCATTTTTCTTCAAGGTAGCGAAAAGGTTTCTTTATCAAATATTGTCACATGTGCTTAAGGAGTCACGTTTCAAAAATTTGTTGCGATTGCAAAGGGTGAACTGAGTAAGTGAGCTAAGTTTTCGGGAAAATAATATAAGAAAGTTGGACTTGTTCTATGTTGTTGCGGAATGCGTTATCCGCATAATATATGATTTGAGCTCTTTGTTAAAGTACTGTGAATTTGGAACTTAAATTTGAATTTTAAAATACCAACGAATTATTTTACTTCATGGTTTTTGGCTACATATTTACGCGAAACGCTATGGATTTTCTGATGTTAATTTAATAATATGTATTGGTCGACAAAATCAAGTTAAAATCTGTGTATCACGTCGGATTGGAATATTTATAAAGAGATGCAAAAAGAGTCACCTCTGTTTTGAAAATATATAATTTTAGTCCTTTCAAACAAGAACACTTTTGCTTACAATTTGATAAACTTAAATCTATAATAAGCTTGTCTTTGAATTGAACTTCATACTCCGGAATACCAGTATCAAAATCACGCAATACTTTATTTTATAAAAGTTATACAATAAAATTTGTACGGCCTAGCTTCTTCCTGATAAACAACCGAAAAAATAAAATTCAAAAAAACACCAAAAAATTTAGGATTATTGCACAAAAATTGGAGATATTTGTACATACATATAAATGAATATTGTTTATTCATGTTTTTTCGTTCGTCTTCGCGGACCCCCTAGGATTTTACTACGGACCACTAGGGGTCCGCGGACCCCCATTTGGGAACCGTTGGTCTAGTCTATAGTCTAGTCCATAGTCTAGTCTATAGTCTAGTCTATAGTCTAGTCTATAGTCTAGTCTATATTCTAGTCTATAGTCTAGTCTATAGTCTAGTCTATAGTCTAGTCTATAGTCTAGTCTATAGTCTAGTCTATAGTCAAGTCTATAGTCTAGTCTATAGTCTAGTCTATAGTCAAGTCTATAGTCAAGTCTATAGTCTATAGTCTAGTCTATAGTCTAGTCTATAGTCTAGTCTATAGTCTAGTCTATAGTCTAGTCTATAGTCTAGTCTATAGTCTAGTCTATAGTCTAGTCTATAGTCTAGTCTATAGTCTAGTCTATAGTCTAGTCTATAGTCTAGTCTATAGTCTAGTCTATAGTCTAGTCTATAGTCTAGTCTATAGTCTAGTCTATAGTCTAGTCTATAGTCTAGTCTATAGTCTAGTCTATAGTCTAGTCTATAGTCTAGTCTATAGTCTAGTCTATAGTCTAGTCTATAGTCTAGTCTATAGTCTAGTCTATAGTCTAGTTTATAGTCTAGTCTATAGTCTAGTCTATAGTCTAGTCTATAGTCTAGTTTATAGTCTAGTCTATAGTCTAGTCTATAGTCTACTCTATAGTCTAGTCTATAGTCTAGTCTATAGTCAAGTCTATAGTCTAGTCTATAGTCAAGTCTATAGTCTAGTCTATAGTCTAGTCTATAGTCCAGTCTATAGTCTAGTCTATAGTCTAGTCTATAGTCTAGTCTATAGTCTAGTCTAGTCTAGTCTAGTCTATAGTCTAGTCTAGTCTAGTCTATAGTCTAGTCTATAGTCTAGTCTATAGTCTAGTCTATAGTCTAGTCTATAGTCTAGTCTATAGTCTAGTCTATAGTCTAGTCTATAGTCTAGTCTATAGTCTAGTCTATAGTCTAGTCTATAGTCTAGTCTATAGTCTAGTCTATAGTCTAGTCTATAGTCTAGTCTATAGTCTAGTCTATAGTCTAGTCTATAGTCTAGTCTATAGTCTAGTCTATAGTCTAGTCTATAGTCTAGTCTATAGTCTAGTCTATAGTCTAGTCTATAGTCTAGTCTATAGTCTAGTCTATAGTCTAGTCTATAGTCTAGTCTATAGTCTAGTCTATAGTCTAGTCTATAGTCTAGTCTATAGTCTAGTCTATAGTCTAGTCTATAGTCTAGTCTATAGTCTAGTCTATAGTCTAGTCTATAGTCTAGTCTATAGTCTAGTCTATAGTCTAGTCTATAGTCTAGTCTATAGTCTAGTCTATAGTCTAGTCTATAGTCTAGTCTATAGTCTAGTCTATAGTCTAGTCAATAGTCTAGTCTATAGTTTAGTCTATAGTCTAGTCTATAGTCCAGTCTATATACTAGACTATAGACTAGACTATAGACTAGACTAGACTATAGACTTGACTATAGACTAGACTATAGTCTAGTCTATAGTCCAGTCTATAGTCTAGTCTATAGTCTAGTCTATAGTCTAGTCTATAGTCTAGTCTATAGTCTAGTCTATAGTCTAGTATATAGTCTAGTATATAGTCTAGTCCATAATAAAACAATAATAAGGTAGAATCAGTAGAAAAATACGTTCTCAATTTTACATGCCTTGAATTGTCACAAAAAAGAAAATTAAAAAATATAAAGAAAAACATCAAATAAAAATTATTGAAAAATTTTTGTTAAGAAAATAAAATTGAATAATTTGAATCAAAAAGATTGTAAAACCAATAAAAATCAAAAACAGGATACAGAAGTGTGGAATGCTGTTTGCGTGTGCCGTTCAAGAATCATTTCATGGTATTTTTCGTGGTTTTCATTTGAAGATTTTTAAGTTTTTCTCTTTATAATTCTTTTTTGTTTGACTTAACAAGGCAGAGAATTGACAACTCTCCCTACTGATTCTACCTTTCTATGGTTGTATCATGGTCTAGTCTATAGTCTAGTCTATAGTCTAGTCCATAGTCTAGTCTATAGTCTAGTCCATAGTCTAGGCTATAGTCTAGTCTAGTCTAGTCTATAGTCTAGTCTAGTCTATAGTCTAGTCTATAGTCTAGTCTAGTCTAGTCTATAGTCTAGTCTATAGTCTAGTCTATAGTCTAGTCTATAGTCTAGTCTATAGTCTAGTCTATAGTCTAGTCTATAGTAGTCTAGTCTAGTCTATAGTCTAGTCTATAGTCTAGTCTAGTCTATAGTCTAGTATAGTCTAGTCTATAGTCTAGTATAAAGTCTAGTCTATAGTCTATAGTCTAGTCTATAGTCTAGTCTATAGTCTAGTCTATAGTCTAGTCTATAGTCTAGTCTATAGTCTAGTCTATAGTCTAGCCTATAGTCTAGTCTATAGTCTAGTCTATAGTCTAGTCTATAGTCTAGTCTATAGTCTAGTCTATAGTCTAGTCTATAGTCTAGTCTATAGTCTAGTCTATAGTCTAGTCTATAGTCTAGTCTATAGTCTAGTCTATAGTCTAGTCTATAGTCTAGTCTATAGTCTAGTCTATAGTCTAGTCTATAGTCTAGTCTATAGTCTAGTCTATAGTCTAGTCTATAGTCTAGTCTATAGTCTAGTCTATAGTCTAGTCTATAGTCTAGTCTATAGTCTAGTCTATAGTCTAGTCTATAGTCTAGCCTAATCTATAGACGAGTCTATAGTCTAGCCTAATCTATAGTCTAGTCTAGAAAAGTTACTTGGACCCCAAGCAAGTTTCCGTTAGCAGAAAATGGTTAGTACGTTGCTTGGATCCCCAAGCAAGTTTCCGTTAGAAAAAAATGAATAAAACGATCAAAAGACGTATAAGTTTCTTTCACGTATTTTGTTCGCAAATTTTTCATTATAATTCATTTTTGTTTTTGTTGTTTATGTTAAATTTATTTTTATTGCATGATTTTGACTCGTGCAGTTCTTAATGCGAGCATATGTGTGAGTGAGTATGTGTTTTGTATATTATATTTGTTGTTTTGTTTGCATGGTAATAAACAAAAACAACAAGAAAATTATAAAAAAAATTGCGTGCAATTTATTTTTGTACTTTATACACATACACACGCAAGACACTGGAGGCAGAGTTGGAAAAATGTTTTTTTATAGTTTACGTTATAGTAAAGTGAGCTATGGGGAAATATTGAAAGCTGACCTAATATTTTAATATTTTCATTTATACAGCCCTGGGATTTGTTTTGCATATTAGTATTGGTTTTATTCGTTGTTTAATTTCCATATATTTTGCGTTTAAATTGGAAGAATTGCTGGAATTACAAGGAATTTTTTTAAAGAAAACTTTTTTGCCTTACTAGCAAGACTAGACTCTAGACCATACTATAGACTAGATTATAGTCTAGACTATAGATTAGTCAATAGACTAGACTATAGAATGAACTATAAACAAGAGTATAAACTGTACTATAAACCACACTAGCCTATAGCCTAGTCTAAAGACTACACTACAGACTCGACTATAGGCCAGTTTGTAGACTTCACCATAAGCCAGACTTTTCAAAACAACTAACTGATTATATCACTCTTGTATTTTCTTTAAAGTATTTTCAATTACACATAGAGAAATAAAGTAGAAAGAACATAAACAAAATTGCTGACTTACTGCTTGTTTTAACGCCTCCCAATACTAAATTTGGTGACTGCTTATTGCCCTCAGCGAATGAGGTTGTCCTTGGACGCCCACTCATATCGTCGTCCGCGTCGTCGACTGCGACTCCTAATGCAGTGGTGTCTTTTGAAGGTTTATCAATGCCGCCTGATGCCTGCGTGTTGGCTGCTTTTTATTATAACACCGGGGGAAAGAAAAATAATTCTAATTTGAGTTGTTGTTTGTGTGGTGGTTTATGGTTGTTGTTGCGGTTTGTTGTTGATGATGATTCCTTGGCGTTTTTTTTTCTACTTTCTTAATCAATTTAGGAAATTTTAGGTGTTTTTTTTAGTTTAGTATTAAAGCCAAAAAGTTTATTGTTTTCACTTTCGTTTAAAGGGGGACGAGTTTTGTCTTTTTAATATTTCAAATTAAAATTTTTATATTTAAATGTTTAGTAACAAAAAACCGTTAAAATTATTATTTTTTTATTTTCTTTTTGACTCAAATTTAATTTGAAAAGTTTTCTTGTTGAAATTTAAAAGCTGCAAGGAAAAGAAAACGGCAAAATATATAATTTAATAGAGTATAGGAAAATTTACATTTATATTAATCTTTTAAAATATAATTAAGTTTTATATAGATTGTTATTGTTGTTATTATCATTAGAACTTATAAAATAAGACAAACACCTAAAATATTTGCATAATTTAAGGAGTTTTTTTTTTATTTTGTGGTTTGGTTTTGCTTTAAAAATTTTTACAATAACAAAATTAAAAGTTATAAATTTTAGAATAATTAACAAGGAAGCATAAAAAGTTTTCTAAAGGAAACTTGCTTGCAAAACAAGCAACTTTTCTAAAAAGTCTAATCAATAGCCTAGTACATTATCCAGTATATAGTCCGCACTATGGTCCAGTCTATAATCTAGCCTATAGTCTAGGCTAAATTCCAAACTATAGTCTGGTCTATATTCTAATCTATAGGATACTCAATAGTGTAGTCTATAATCTAGTCTATAGTCGAGTCTTAATCTATAGTCTAGTCTATAGTTTAGTCTATAGTTTAGTCTATAGTCTAGTCTAGTACTATAGTCTAGTCTATAGTCTAGTCTATAGTCTAGTCTATAGTCTAGTCTATAGTCTAGTCTATAGTCTAGTCTATAGTCTAGTCTATAGTCTAGTCTATAGTCTAGTCTAGTCTAGTCTATAGTCTAGCCTATAGTCGAGTCTATTGTCTAGTTTCACAGTCTTGTCTATAATCTAGTCAATAGTTTAGTCAATCCAGTCTATAGTCTAGTCTATAGTGTAGTCTATAATGTAGTCTATAGTCTAGTCTATAGTCTAGTCTATATGTAGTCTATAGTCTAGTCTATAGTAGTCTATAGTCTAGCTATAGTCTAGTCTATAGTCTAGTCTATAGTCTAGTCTATAGTCATAGTCTATAGTCTAGTCTATAGTCTAGTCTATAGTCTAGTCTAGTCTAGTCTAGGTAGTCTATAGTCTAGTCTATAGTCTAGTCTATAGTCTAGTCTATAGTCTAGTCTATAGTCTAGTCTATAGTCTAGTCTATAGTCTAGTCTATAGTCTAGTCTATAGTCTAGTCTATAGTCTAGTCTATAGTCTAGTCTATAGTCTAGTCTATAATCTAGTCTATAGTCTAGTCTATAATCTAGTCTATAGTCGAGTCTCAATCTATAGTCTAGTCTATAGTCTAGTCTATAGTCTAGTCTATAGTCTAGTCTATAGTCTAGTCTATAGTCTAGTCTATAGTCTAGTCTATAGTCTAGTCTATAGTCTAGTCTATAGTCTAGTCTATAGTCTAGTCTATAGTCTAGTCTATAGTCTAGTCTATAGTCTAGTCTATAGTCTAGTCTATAGTCTAGTCTATAGTCTAGTCTATAGTCTAGTCTATAGTCTAGTCTATAGTCTAGTCTATAGTCGAGTCTATTGTCTAGTTCACAGTCTAGTCTATAATCTAGTCAATAGTCCAGTCTATAGTCTAGTCTATAGTCTAGTCTATAGTCTAGTCTATAGTCTAGTCTATAGTCTAGTCTATAGTCTAGTAGTCTATCTATAGTCTAGTCTATAGTCTAGTCTATAGTCTTAGTCTATAGTCTAGTCTATAGTCTAGTCTATAGTCTAGTCTATAGTCTAGTCTATAGGTCTAGTCTATAGTCTAGTCTATAGTCTAGTCTATAGTCTAGTCTATCGTCTAGTCTATAGTCTAGTCTATAGGTCTAGTCTATAGTCTAGTCTATAGTCTAGTCTAGTCTATAGCCCGTTCTATAGTCTAGTCTATAGTCTAGTCTATAGTCTAGTCTATAGTCTAGTCTATAGTCTAGTCTATAGTCAAGTCTATAGTCTAGTCTATAGTCTAGTCTATAGTCTAGTCTATAGTCTAGTCTATAGTCTAGTCTATAGTCTAGTCTATAGTCTAGTCTATAGTCTAGTCTATCAGTCTAGTCTATAGTCTAGCCTATAGTCGAGTCTATTGTCTAGTTCACAGTCTGTCTATAATCTAGTCAATAGTTTAGTCAATCCAGTCTATAGCCAGTTCTATAGTCTAGTCTATAGTCTAGTCTATAGTCTAGTCTATAGTCTAGTCTATAGTCTAGTCTATAGTCTAGTCTATACTCTAGTCTATAGTCTAGTCTATAGTCTAGTCTATAGTTTAGTCTATAGTCTAGTCTATAGTCTAGTCTATAGTCTAGTCTATAGTCTAGTCTATAGTCTAGTCTATAGTCTAGTCTATAGTCTAGTCTATAGTCTAGTCTATAGTCTAGTCTATAGTCTAGTCTATAGTCTAGTCTATAGTCTAGTCTATAGTCTAGTCTATAGTCTAGTCTATAGTCTAGTCTATAGTCTAGTCTATAGTCTAGTCTATAGTCTAGTCTATAGTCTAGTCTATAGTCTAGTCTATAGTCTAGTCTATAGTCTAGTCTATAGTCTAGTCTATAGTCTAGTCTATAGTCTAGTCTATAGTCTAGTCTATAGTCTAGTCTATAGTCTAGTCTATAGTCTAGTCTATAGTCTAGTCTATAGTCTAGTCTATAGTCTAGTCTATAGTCTAGTCTATAGTCTAGTCTATAGTCTAGTCTATAGTCTAGTCTATAGTCTATAGTCTAGTCTATAGTCTAGTCTATAGTCTAGTCTATAGTCTAGTCTATAGTCTAGTCTATAGTCTAGTCTATAGTCTAGTCTATAGTCTAGTCTATAGTCTAGTCTATAGTCTAGTCTATAGTCTAGTCTATAGTCTAGTCTATAGTCTAGTCTATAGTCTAGTCTATAGTCTAGTCTATAGTCTAGTCTATAGTCTAGTCTATAGTCTAGTCTATAGTCTAGTCTATAGTCTAGTCTATAGTCTAGTCTATAGTCTAGTCTATAGTCTAGTCTATAGTCTAGTCTATAGTCTAGTCTATAGTCTAGTCTATAGTCTAGTCTATAGTCTAGTCTATAGTCTAGTCTATAGTCTAGTCTATAGTCTAGTCTATAGTCTAGTCTATAGTCTAGTCTATAGTCTAGTCTATAGTCTAGTCTATAGTCTAGTCTAGTATATAGTCTAATCTATAGTCTAGTCTATAGTCTAGTCTATAGTCTAGTCTGTAGTCTAGCCTATAGTCTAGTCTATAGTCTAGTCTATAGTCTAGTCTATAGTCTAGTCTATAGTCTAGTCTATAGTCTAGTCTTTAGTCTAGTCTATAGTCTAGTCTATAGTCTAGTCTATAGTCTAGTCTATAGTCTAGTCTATAGTCTAGTCTATAGTCTAGTCTATAGTCTAGTCTATAGTCTAGTCTATAGTCTAGTCTATAGTCTAGTCTATAGTCTAGTCTATAGTCTAGTCTATAGTCTAGTTTATAGTCTAGTTTATAGTCTAGTCTATGGTCTAGTCTATAGTCTTGTCTATAGTCCAGTCTATAGTCTAGTCTATAGTCTAGCCTATAGTCTAGTATATAGTATAGTCTATCTATCTATCTATCTATCTATCTATCTATCTATCTATCTATCTATCTATCTATCTATCTAATTATCTATCTATCTATCTATCTATCTATCTATCTATCTATCTATCTATCTATCTACTAATCTATCTATCTATCTATCTATCTATCTATCTATCTATCTATCTAGCTATCTATCTATCTATCTATCGCTATCTATCTATCTATCTACTTCTATCTATCTAGCTATCTACTATCTATCTATCTATCTTCTGCCTCTATATAGTCTGGCAACTTTTTTTTACAAAATTTGATAGTTTATGAGTTTAAATACCTTAATTAAATTGTAATTTAAGTCTGCTAATTTAAACAATTAATATTTTGCAGTTTTATCTAAAGAAAGTAATTAATAGTGCATGCTTGAGAAACCCAAACAAAAAATTTGCAGACTTATAAATATTTACTAACTAAAAATAGATTAATAATAGTTTAAAATAAAAACTTACATTTTCATTTCCAAAAAATTTCCAGTTATATGATTTTTCTGCTTTAACTACGTTTTTTTATTAGTTTTTTTTTTTACTAAATGATTGCACGTTTATGTTTTTTCTAATTTATTATAGTAAATTGTAATGTTTTAAAGCGAAGACGTTTTTTTTGTTGTTGGATGTTTTTGTATTTTAGGCTCATTTAACAAAAAATTGTTTAGTTTTTTTGTGTTTTTTTGAAAATCTTATAAATATTTTAGATTTTTTCTTTTTAGAAATTATTTAGCCTAAAAAAACAATTTGTATTTTGTTTTAATATTTACATTATTTTAAAACATTTCTTTTAAATTTGTTTAAAATATTTCTTTTAGAGCTTTTTTTCATTTATATTAATAACACTGGTGACAGACAGACAGCAGCAGTACAGCACAGCATGTAGAAAAAAAATAAAAGATTTTATTCTTTTTTTATGTTTAATAACGTTTTATTATTGTTGTTGTTGTTGGAGATGTTAAGGAAAGCAAAACAATCGAAGAAATAAAATGCAATTTTACTTTTTATTGTTGTTTACAAATCTGTAAAGAAAAATAAAGCAAAAATAAAGCAAAAGAATTAAATTTTAGGAAAATTTTAAATTTTTCGAAAAAATTATAAAAAAATGAAAAAAAATTTCTTCAGAAAATTTGTTTTCTTTACATGTAGTTTGGAGCAGAACTAGAGCAGAATTAGAACAGTACTAGAACAGAACTAGAAGAAAACTAGAACAGAACTAGAACAGAACTAGAAAAGAACTAGAACAGAACTAAAGCAGAACTAGAACAGAACTAGAACAGAACTAGAACAGAACTGGAACAGAACTAGAACTGAACTAGAACTGAACTAGAACTGAACTAGAACTGAACTAGAACTGAACTAGAACTGAACTAGAACTGAACTAGAACTGAACTAGAACTGAACTAGAACTGAACTAGAACTGAACTAGAACTGAACTAGAACTGAACTAGAACTGAACTAGAACTGAACTAGAACTGAACTAGAACTGAACTAGAACTGAACTAGAACTGAACTAGAACTGAACTAGAACTAGAACTAGAACTGAACTAGAACGAACTAGAACTGAACTAGAACTGAACTAGAACTGAACTAGAACTGAACTAGAACTGAACTAGAACAGAACTGGAACTAGAACTGGAACTAGAACTGAACTAGAACTGAACTAGAACTGAACTAGAACTGAACTAGAACTGAACTAGAACTGAACTAAAACTGAACTGAACTAGAACTGAACTAGAACTAGAACTGAACTAGAACTGAACTAGAACTGAACTAGAACTGAACTAGAACTGAACTAGAGCTGAACTAGAGCTGAACTAGAGCTGAACTAGAACTGAACTGAACTAGAACTGAACTAGAACTGAACAGAACTGAACTAGAACTGAACTAGAACAGAACTAGAACTGAACTAAAACTGAACTAGAACTAACTAGAACTGAACTAAGAACTGAACTAGAACTGAACAGAACTGAACTAGAACTGAACTAGAACTGAACTAGAACTGAACTAGAACTAACTAGAACTGAACTAGAACTGAACTAGAACTGAACTAGAACTGAACTAGAACTGACTAGACTACTAGAACTGAACTAGAACAGAACTGGAACTAGGACTGGAACTAGAACTGAACTAGAACTGAACTAGAACTGAACTAGAACTGAACTAGAACTGAACTAGAACTGAACTGAACTAGAACTGAACTAGAACTGAACTAGAACTGAACTAGAACTGAACTAGAACTGAACTAGAACTGAACTAGAACTGAACTAGAACTGAACTAGAACTGAACTAGAGCTGAACTAGAGCTGAACTAGAACTGAACTGAACTAGAACTGAACTAGAACTGAACTAGAACTGAACAAGAACTGAACTAGAACAGAACTAGAACTGAACTAGAACTGAACTAGAACTGACCTAGAACTGAACTAGAACTGAACTAGAACTGAACTAGAACTGAACAAGAACTGAACTAGAACTGAACTAGAACTGAACTAGAACTGAACTAGAACTGAACTAGAACTAGAACTGAACTAGAGCTGAACTAGAACTGAACTAGAACTGAACTAGAACTGAACTAGAACTGAACTAGAACTGAACTAGAACTGAACTAGAACTGAACTAGAACTGAACTAGAACTGAACTAGAACTGAACTAGAACTGAACTAGAACTGAACTAGAACTGAACTAGAACTGAACTAGAACTGAACTAGAACTGAACTAGAACTGAACTAGAACTGAACTAGAACTGAACTAGAACTGAACTAGAACTGAACTAGAACTGAACTAGAACTGAACTAGAACTGAACTAGAACTGAACTAGAACTGAACTAGAACTGAACTAGAACTGAACTAGAACTGAACTAAACTAGAACTGAATTATTTCAGAAGAAAAGTTGCTTCAATTCCCAGAAAGTTTTCTTCAGAAAAGTTTATTTTCGTTGTTGTGCTATTTATGAAATCTTGTCTGTAAATTCTTTCTAAATACTTTTGTTATTGAGTCACATTTTTGTACAAAAAAACATTTTATTTCTATTTTTTATGTGTTTTATAATCAATCACGTTATTCTAAACACTAAAAAGTAAAAATCAGCTGCAGTTTAAAATTTTATTTAAATTATTTTAAAGAATACACAGTCACTTTTTTAAAACAATGAGACAATTAGACGCTATTTTTTATACGGAATTGTTTTTGTTAATCGGTTTTTTGTTCACAACACTTTTTTTTTTAATTTTTGTTAAAAGATGAGTAGAACCCATGTATATAGTTGTTGTTGAAGATGTTGCTGGTACTGGTGGTGGTATAAGACGTTGGGGTTTATAACATTATGAGGCACTTTAATTTCCTTTCTTTTTTCTTGTTGTATTTAAAATTGTTGGCAAACTTTAGTTACATTTGTTGCCAAAAAATAAAACTATGAAAAACAAACAGCTAAACTAAACAACATTTGCTTAAAGTTCATATTTTACCAAAATAATAGAACTTTAACATAGAATATAAACTACTTTGTATATACTTTGTTAGTATAAGCTATTTTTCCTCAACTGTTTAGTATACATTTAGGCGCAGGACATAAATCACTTTTACTGCCTATTTGTAACAAAAGGCAAACAACAATATAAGGCTATTTTTATAAAACAAAAAAAGGAAATTTATACGTAATATAATAAATTAAATTATATAGCTACTAGAAAAACAACTAAATATATATTTTTTAAATTTATTTTCTAAATCTATTTGAAAAAACCCCCTTGTACTCTCACTTTTTTCTTTAGTTTTTTTTTTTACAAAAATTTCCCATTACAGCAGGTGTTGCATAGAAATGTGCAATTGTCGTTGTTGCTAATTGCTTTAAATGCCAATAAACTGATAGGAAATAAAATTAATACTATTAAATTTTTAAATACAAAAAAGTAATGGTGTTTGTAATATTATATTTTACTTTTTTTAACGATTACATTAATAATCATTGAAGGGTAACTCCGTAACTCCCCTTTAGCGGCTTAATTAACACTAACAAAGGTATTGCAATCTTAACAATTTCCTTTAATAGTAGGAAAAAATTTGAAGATAATTTCTTAAAAACAATTTAGAAATAAATTAAGTACGTCACAATCATCTTTTCAGAACAAGAACTTAACTTGAACTGATCTAGAACTGAACTAGAACTAAACTACAGTTGAAGTAGAACTAAACTAAAACTGAACTAGAGTTGAAGTAAAACTAAACTAAACTGAACTAGAACTGAAATAGAATTGAACTGAATTAGTTCTGACCTAGAATTGAATTAGAACTGAAGTAGAACTGAACTGGAACTGAACTAGAACTGAACTAGAACTGAACTAGAACTGAACTAGAACTGAATTAGAACTGAACTAGAACTGAAGTAGAACTGAACTAGAACTGAACTAGAACTAAACTAGAACTGAACTAGAACTGAACTAGAACTGAACTAGAACAGAACTAGAACAGAACTAGAACTAGAACAGAACTAGAACATAACTAGAACAGAACAGAATAGAACAGAACTAGAACAGAACTAGAACAGAACTAGAACAGAACTAGAACAGAACTAGAACAGAACTAGAACAGAACTAGAACAGAACTAGAACAGAACTAGAACAGAACTAGAACAGAACTAGAACAGAACTAGAACAGAACTAGAACAGAACTAGAACAGAACTAGAACAGAACTAGAACAGAACTAGAACTAGAACAGAACTAGAACAGAACTAGAACTAGAACAGAACTAGAACAGAACTAGAACAGAACTAGAACAGAACTAGAACAGAACTAGAACAGAACTAGAACAGAACTAGAACAGAACTAAAACAGAACTAAAACAGAACTAGAACAGTAATAGAACAGAACTAGAACTGAACTAGAACTGAACTAGAACTGAACTAGAACTGAACTAGAACTGAACTAAAACTGAACTAGAACTGAACTAGAACTGAACTAGAACTGAACTAGAACTGAACTAGAACTGAACTAGAACAGAACTGAACTGAACTAGAACTGAACTAGAACTGAACTAGAACTGAACTAGAACTGAACTAGAACTGAACTAGAACTGAACTAGAACTGAACTAGAACTGAACTAGAACTGAACTAGAACTGAACTAGAACTGAACTAGAACTGAACTAGAACTGAACTAGAACTGAACTAGAACTGAACTAGAACTGAACTAGAACTGAACTAGAACTGAACTAGAACTGAACTAGAACTGAACTAGAACTGAACTAGAACTGAACTAGAACTGAACTAGAACTGAACTAGAACTGAACTAGAACTGAACTAGAACTGAACTAGAACTGAACTAGAACTGAACTAGAACTGAACTAGAACTGAACTAGAACTGAACTAGAACTGAACTAGAACTGAACTAGAACTGAACTAGAACTGAACTAGAACTGAACTAGAACTGAACTAGAACTGAACTAGAACTGAACTAGAACTGAACTAGAACTGAACTAGAACTGAACTAGAACTGAACTAGAACTGAACTAGAATTGAACTGAACTAGAACTGAACTAGAACTGACCTAGAACTGAACTAGAACTAAACTAGAACTGAACTGGAACTAAACTAGAACTGAACTAGAGCCAAATTAGAACTGTTCAAGAACTAAACTAAAACAGAACTATATTAGAACTAGATCTCAACTACAACTAAACTAGCATTAAACTAGATTTCTAGAACTAGAACAGAACTAGAACTGAACTAGAACTGAACTAGAACTGAACTAGAACTGAACTAGAACTGAACTAGAACTAAATTAGAACTGAACTGGAACTAAACTATAACTGAACTAGAGCCAAATTAGAACTGTTCAAGAACTAAACTAAAACAGAACTATATTAGAACTAGATCTCAACTACAACTAAACTAGCATTAAACTAGATCTCAACTACAACTAAACTAGCATTAAACTAGATTTCTAGAACTAGAACAGAACTAGAACTGAACTAGAACTGAACTAGAACTGAACTAGAACTGAACTAGAACTGAACTAGAACTGA